CTCCGAGGCTGTGAGGTGGAACTATTCATACAGACCTAACGGCCGATCAGTTGTTCCTGCTGTATGCGGTGGTAGACTGGGCCTGTAGGTGAGATTTGGAGGTAATGCGTCGAATAAATAGTTCCACCAAATACTGCGTCTCCATAAGAGAAAAAAAAACATAATGATGATTTTTGTTCTGAGACGTAGTCATTCGCTGAAACTATTCATTCAACGCCTACCCTTTCCTCCATAGCAGTTCCGAGGCTCTATGAGGGACAAAGTTGGAGACTATGATGGGTTCTAAGCTTTAAAACGTTACTAAGCAGGCGTTGTCTACCGGAATAAGCCTAAAGACAGCTCCCGCGATAAAAGTGTCATGGATAGTTGCTGTTCAATTATGAAACAGTAGCTGATAAGTAATTCCCAGAGAGGAAAGATCTCTCAAGAACACCATAAACAAAATCGCTTCCTAACAGTTACACCGCCCGGTCTCCGTGCAACCCCTAACTCACAAATTCCTTTATCACATCTCCCAGTAGTGGGTATCATCCAATGCAATGAAAAGAATACGAAAAACAACAAAAACACGAAAAAACTTTTAAAAAAAGAAAAATTTCGAAACTCGGCGTCGGGTGACGAGTTGCGTGGGCATTTTAGTGCACGTCGAGTTTTGCACCACAAAAATTAGATCAACTGCGTGATTTTTTACGGCGTTCACTTGCGGAGGATGGGTTAGCAGCTGCTGCATAGTGGTCCAATGAATACAAATGGTAATAAGGGAGAGATAAATTATTGGTATGGCGAGGAGCTGTCAGCAAAAACGGACTTTTCAATTCGATTAATGCCGTCAGCCAGAAGCAAAGAACAAGGTGTGCAGCCTCGCGCGTCCAGGGAATCTAGCAATGGGCGACCAACTCGCGGCCGTTAGAAGTCGAACTTTCAGGGCCGGCTTATCGTCACTGTGAAACTGGCGGCCGTTAGAACTAGAACTTTCAGCGGCTGTAGCTCGCTGTGGAGTCGCGAGAGTGGGACAGTCTCTAGCTTGGGGGCTGGACTACTTGCACAAGGAAGGACGACCATGTACTATTGAGCGCGGAGGCTGTCTTTGACTGTTCGAACCGTAGTTGGAGGAAAAAATGAAGGGGAAGCTGTAGATGCGGAGAACTGAGATTGAATACTTTCTCACGAACAAACGAAAGAGTCGCGAACGAATGAACGCTACCAAAAGTGAGGCTACCACTTCAAGCATTAGGAGTTATTCGTTAATATCCATAGTGAGACCCTCTCAAAAACAGAAAAGAATACGTCATATTTCAGGAGAGGTAAAGGACACACTCCTTCAAACGTACCCTGAACTGCGCTCGGAGAGCCTGGTTAGCAGCAAAATCATCACGTAACCTTTCCTGAACCCATTCAATTTTCTCCATGCGGACCTCGTCATTAGTTGCTTTGCTTTTATCCTGGAAGAAGCACATAAATCTGTCCTAGTTTTCGAAACACACAACACGGCAAAAAAATCCTGTACTACTGTAAAACAAATCCGATTATTAGTGTGGGAAAACTTGGGCACGTAACTACTTACTTCTTCCTGATGTTCTGTTTTAAACATCGCATCCGCTGCTAGCTTGTGGCTGAAAGCACTGTCGGACGTGTCCACTTGGTCGACTTCCGAAGGTTCGAAGCGTTTCTCTTGTCGTGTACATCCCTCTACCAACTCGTAATCGAAATTCTGAACTTAGCATCGATCATATCTATTCTCTATCGAGTTGAAGCAAGGAAAGTTACGGTGGCATTTCACAGTGGACCACATGAATTTCGGTGGGAGGCCGCAGCTTGCACAAGTAACAATACGAAGGAAACCTCGTTATGCGCATGCTGAGTGATGGTGGGCAGAGGCAAGGGCGGGGGGATGGTGATTCGAAACTACTGTAAGGAGTGCTGGGTTGAGGGCGAAAAACTTGACGCCAGCCTGGATTCGTATTGCGAGTTCACCGAGCTAGTACGCTTGCTATTACACCAGTAGGAATTCCGACTTCCTCTCAACTTGATGACTTCATGTCATACCCAGGGTACAACATCGTGATGTGTGAAACGGTAGTGCCAGTACGGCCCCCACCCCTCTCGAGGGAGGGTCTTGGTACGACCCCCCCCCTTCCTCAGCCCTTACCTACCAATTTCCCGCATTTTCGAATTTTCAGAGATTTTCCGTCGAGCGGGAGGGGTGGGGGGGGGGTAAATAGTACCCAAGAAACAGGAAAAATAAATCACGCGAAAAGTCAACAACCGGGACAAACTTTTAACCAACACAGCAAATTCCTGTCAAAGCCACACGACCCCTCCCCCCTCTTCCAACAACGACCAAGTACGACCACCCCCCCCCCATTTGTTTCACACAGCGATGCTGTACCCCGGTCATACCTTCTTCTGATACCTAGTAATGGACTTGGTCGCATCGCGTCCTTGCAAAGTGTTAGCTGGGCAGCTGATATCAATACATGCTCCTAACAACCGGCGTATTTTACGCAATGATTGAATCCTTAAAGTCAGAGATCTTTTACGTAATTACTGTAGCCTCAGGGTGGTGGAGGGCGACCAGGCGACCAGGGTGATGTAAATGATTAGCATGAGCATAGCTTGAGAAGCAGATGCATGTCCTGCTGCCTGGGTCGCCTTTGCCCATAACTCAGCATTTACGACAACTTTCGTGTAATGAACTCTTGCCTCAAACAGCAGACATCATAACAGATCAAAACTGTAAGAAATGTCGAAATGACGCCCATAACTAACACGTCCCGCAAGCCCATGTGCAAGCTAAAGGTCACCAGAAGATGATAAAATCACTAGAAGTCCAAAAAGAAGTGATCAATTAATGATTGCATTATCGTACCTTGGGATCCGTACGAATCACATAGTAGTTATCACACAAATGGCATTTCATTCGAAATTCGTACAGCGGCGTCGTGTAGTACATTCCAATCTTCTTCTTTTCAGCATTATATCGTACACCCATTCCAACGTGGTTATTACATCCAAGGCACCAAATATTAAATGGCATTTCAAATCTGCAAAACAGTACAAAGAAAATAGCAGTGGTACAACAACAATGAAGTACAAGGCAAGGTTTTAAAGATAACAAACCTAATAACGAGGATTCCTTGCGAAATCTTCGCTGCACGCTCCCGTAAAGCATGAACACCATGGTATTTATTCAAACTTTTGTGCTTCTTGTAGTCGAAATCCGGAGGATAATAGAAATTCTGACCTTTGCGCTCCCCCATATTTGCTCCTGCAAAGGATAAAACATGAAAAGTTAGTACAGTTCCACTAGCGCGACGTTTCAAAACGTAACATTTTACCACGAGCAATCTGTAACACAGCGTCTAGAGAGGGCGTGTCTATGGAACCAGCTGTGACCGCAATGAGCACAGGCTCTAGGCTGCTCAAGTGAGGACGTAGACAGCGTGCGCACAAGCCCAGGTGTCAAAAGAGGACGTTGATGCACCGCTCTTCTGGCGCCAACGATTGCTCAAACCATACGCAGCCGCCGCAGCACTTGTACGACTGCAGACACGCCCTTTCTAGACGCCGTGACATGAACTATACATTACGTTACGTTACGTCAACACGGCCAGTTTGAAAGAGGGCGATGACGAAACACTGTGATGAAGAAACGGGGCAGATGTTGTTTTTTCATTTGGTTCGAAGGCAGTGCACATCC